TTACTTAGTCAAGCCAAAAAAATGATGCTTTTGAATTTTGGTGCTGGAGGAGACTCTTGAGAGTCCCATGGACTGCAAGAAGATCAAACCTCTCCATTCTTAAGGAAATCAGCCCTGAGTGCTCACTGGAAGGACAGATCTTGAAGCTGAGGTTCTAATACTTTGGCCACCTCATGAGAAGAGAAGACTCCCTGGAAAAGACCCTGATGTTGGGAAAGATGGAGGGCACAAGGAGAAGGGGACGACAGGACGAGATGGTTGGACAGTGTTCTCGAAGCTACCAGCATGAGTTTGACCAAACTGCAGGAGGCAGTGGAAGACAGGAGTGCCTGACGAAGAGTTGGACACGACTAAACGACTAAACAACAACAGCAACAAAGTCAAGCTGAAAACTTACACACACAAAAAACCTAGGGCTTCCCCACAGAATTTGAAACAGGACAGAAAAAGGAACATGTTTCCAGGGTCACTTTCAACTCCCAGCCACCACGCACACTTAAAATGTCACATGTTTCATCACCCAAATAATTGGTCTGATCCATGGTTTCGAGGAGGCATTTTCAGCCTATATTGAGACCAGACCTTTTGTACATGCTAGCAAATGATAATTCACCAGACTGTATATAGAAATAGAGCATTGTTTCCTTTCCAAATGTCAAAGAATATTCATAGATTTGGAAAAAACAAAACAAAACAAAACATGAAACCCTGTTCTGCATTTAGCCAGCTTTGTAGATTCTCCGTGTGCTGTTACGCTAATACCAGTCGCTGAGATTTCTGCACACAAATAAATAAACTTACGTGGCAAGCTCATTAGTGCTTTGCTGCTGCATTCTACTTGGCTGAGTTTCGGCTTCTGATTTAGGGTACTGTGACACTTAGCGGCATGCTGGGTTTTTCTGAGCAGGTGGCTGGGCCAGAATAGCACAGGAGTGAGCTGTTAGCTGAAACAATAGCGAGCAAAATATAATCTCTCCTCCAAAAGCAGGTCGCTCCCATGTGGATTCTATTCTAAATACAATGTAGTGCAAGTGTTCTTTTCCATGTAGACTAGAGGAAGAGGAAGAGTCCTCGTATCAAGATGTGATCACAGCCTGACAAAGAGACAGATTCACCCATGGCAGTGCCACACCGGAGAACTCATTTGTGTGTCTTGCCTGCTCAGGGAATCTCATAACAAATCAATCCAAAAGCCCCCCCCCCCTCTCTCCAGCATCCCTCCCTCCCCTGTGTGTGTATGTACCTGAGCTCTTCTCATTATAAAGTCATGCTTTCTGTACTTAACAGTGCTTCTGAATGCACTTGGAGACATACAGATCTCCAAAAAAATGTTTCATTTTAAATCAGTAATTCTCTCTCTCTCTCTCTCTCTCTCTCTCTCTCTCTCTCTCTCGCCATTGTCTAGAAACAATAAATAATAATCAAAACAAAAGAGAGGAACTGGAACTATATTTAGAAAATCTTTTTTTAAAATCTGAAGGGTTGGGGGGGAGCAGGGAAACAGTTATATTATCCCTTTGGGTAGCACATAACTACCAGGAAGAAAAGAGGCATCTAATAACTAAATTAAATTATGTTCCTATTGTTAAAGTCTTGGGCCTCTGTGGAATTACTGAATATCCACTCCTTCAACACTTGAGGAAAACTGCTAAAATTCTCCAAGCTATGAAGCTCTAAAAAGGCAGAGCTGTGAAGCTCTTAAAAGGATCTTTATAGAAGAACGGGCTCTTGTTGACTAATGGATCTGGCAGATAATGGTCTTCGTTTACTATTTATTGGAATCAGCAGAGAGGACAGATTAGATTGGAAAGAACTTTGCATGTGTGGGGCGTTTTTCCTTTTTTTTTTTTTACCTTAAAAATAAAATTTAAAAGTCCATAAGAAGGGTACCCGTGAGGCCATTTCCCCCGAACCACACTCACTTGGCTCTACCCCTGACATCATGTGTGTCATCGTGTGGGAGACAGGTAAAGGTGTGTCTTCACTGTGGAGTACATTTCTAAGCAGTTCCCAGAGAAATCACTTGGAAACGCACTTCAAAGGCACAGTTGCCACCTGACATGAAGTCAGGAGATTGGCACCCATCTGCCAAACTTGGCCTGCAGGGCTTGTGCAGATAAAGATCTCAGTCTACCAGGCTGAGAAAGTTCCCGAACCCTGGTCTATAACTACAATCAAGTGGTTAAACCAGTAACCTACTGGCTGGCTGGCTGGCTAAATGGCAGGTTTTGTAGGCATGCCATTTGCCTTCCAGAACAAAGTTGTCTGGGTGTTTTTTTTTTAGCTTTCTTTAAACTATATTTTTTATTTATTTAAGGAACCCATCAGTTGATAAAAAATGTGGCGTGCACTTAGTGCATCTCAACCTTATACCATGCTCTAGTCGCAGATTTCATGAGTGCCTGTTTTAGAAAATGTTACATTTATCAACCATATTTTCCTTTACAAACTTAGGCTTTGAATTTAGAGAGTTCCCACCTGGCTGCATCTTTGGCAGGCCAACCGTTAATGCTCTGCATATATGATATATAATGTACTGAAAGAAATTGCTTCTATGCTGGGAAAAATATTATTGGTATGCATTAATATTTCCAAATCAATAACAAGTTCTCGTTTTAAAAGAAAAACAAAGCAATTGGCAAGACCTTTACATGAACAGGCTGATGGGCCAGACCCATTAGAGAACTGCCAATACTTGGTAAAAGATTCTTATGAAAGGCAATTTGGTATGATGCTAAGTTGTAACATTTCTTTGTAGCATTTCTTTACGAAGATTCTGAAAAGGACTTTAGCAGAAATGACCATTAGTTACCCAACATGCACAACCTAAGGATCATATGTTTAGCTAAACTCACTCTACCCCAATAACTTGGGTGGGTTAAAATAAACTGGGATTGACCCTGCAAGCTTCAATTGACTTGCCAGCATGTCCTATAGTAAAGGTCTTCCGTTGATGGGTTGGGTGGGTCATGGCCTGATCCAAGCTGGGTTGAAACAGCAGCACTACCACCATGCAAATATATGGTAAAATATTGAGAAGTGGCTCCCCATATTTATGTTTGAATCAAAGGTGAGTCTTGCGCCTGAAAAAGTTGAAGACTACTGCCCAGTGGTACCCATGACATCCCCTCTAAAATCCACAGTGCACAAGAGTCTGTTTGCTTTTCCTGTTCAGTTCCTGTTTGCACTAGCTCAGACTTTCCTACACTGAACATACCCCCTTAAACATGCTCACATTTCCTTGGGTGCCTGGATTGGACTCTTCCATCCATTCTGAATAGATGAGAAGCACAAGGAGTGTGTTGGTGGCTGATGTAGGAGCCTTTCCCTGCATGGTGCAGCTGATGGGGACAAGCCCACACCATTTCAGATGTGGCAGCCATTATACCACAACCCCATAGAAGCTATTTTGTGTTATGCCATGCCTCCATGGCAGCCCTTTTTGTTACTGGTGCCCACAGCACTTTCTCAAAATTCCAAATGTGGCCAGCAGCCCCCAAAAGTTGATGACCCCTGCTTTAATAAGTAGATCAATCATTCAGTAGATCAATCAATCGCTTAATCAAAACTTTAGACAACTCATGGATGAGAACCAATATTGATCGATTGATTTTCAGTTATTTCTATACCACTCACCACCATACAGTCACAGGGCAGTGTACAACATAGCAAAACACACCGACACAGATTTCTAAAACAAATTAAAACATTGATGCAAAATGTTTGTCAGCAGAAACTAAAACAACAGGAAAAAAAGAATAAAACAGCAATGGGTACCATGCAAATGGATCTCAGTGAATTGTACCTCCTGATCTTCATGGGCTTAGAGGAAGAGTTGGGAATATAATGTTGAGGAGAGCTTTGCTTCAGTGGGGAGTTTGTTCCAAAGTTTTGGAACTGCCACTAAATCTGGCCAGTGCCAAACCTCAGCAAGGTCATGTGTGTGTTGGAGCACAGAGATAAGCAAACAGCCCACTGCGTCAACAGTGCTGTCAATCTCACTTTGCAGGAGAAACCTGGAAAAGGATCAAATCAGACCTGATTGATGTGGTGAGTGGCGGCGGCGGGGAGGTTTGGATTGTAGCCACAGCACAGGAGATCTGATCCATGTTCCTCCTGTCAAAGCCCAAGCCCAAATCTCTCCCTCCCACAGTTGGTCTGCCTGTGAGGTAGGTTGAGGGAGCCACCTTGGGCAGTGGCCAGTTCCCAGGGAGATCTTGTACACTGTTTTTCAGGAGCCGACGTGCAGCCCAGGTAAGGGAGACTTCAACAGGGGCAGGGCAGCGAAATGGTGGGGCAGGATGGCACTTTCCTCCTTCGCCTCAGGGGGTGAAACAGGACAAACACTGCTCCTGCTCCCCACCTAAAGTGTGTATATGATGGGAACGAACTGCCTGTAGGTTTTAGCTTGCCCACCTAGGTAAAGGTAAAGGGACCCCTGACCATTAGGTCCAGTTGTGACCAACTCTGGAGTTGTGGCGCTCATCTTACTTTATTGGCTGAGGGAGCCGGCATTTCTCTGCAGACAGCTTCAGGGTCATGTGGCCAGCATGACTAAGTCGCTTCTGGCGAACCAGAGCAGCGCACGGAAACGCCGTTTACCTTCCCACCGGAGTGGTACCTATTTATCTGCTTGCACTTTGATGTGCTTTGGAACTGCTAGGTTGGCAGGAACAGGGACTGAGCAATGAGAGCTCACCCCGTCAAGGGGATTCAAACCACTGACCTTCTGATCGGCAAGTCCTAGGCTCTGTGGTTTAACCCACAGTGCCACACATGTCCGCTTGCCCACCTACACATCACTAAAAAAGACCACACAGCTTTGCATGAAATGTGCGTGTACTAATTTACAACACATCTCACCACAGTCGGGAAGTCTGAGACAAGGCAGCAAACACACTGTAAAGCACAGCCTGGGAGTCATTTTGGACTCACAGCTGTCCATGGAGGCACAGGTCAATTCTGCTGTCTCCCAGCTCCATTTTGTACGCTGGCTGAGACCCTAACTGCCTGTGCATTGTCTCGCCAGACAGTGGTTATCTCCTGCTTGAACTACTGCAATGTGCTCTCCGTGGGGCTACCTTTGAAGGTGACTCAGAAACTACAGCTAATCCAGAATGTGGCAGCTAGACTGGTGAATGAGAGCAGCCACCGCGACCATATAACACCAGTCCTGAATGGCCTACGCTGGCTCCCGGTATGTTTCCAAGCACAATTCAAAGTGTTGGTGCTGACCTTCTGTTATGTGCTGAGCTTGAAGGAGTGTCTTCACCCCCATCGCTCAGCCCAGACACTAAGGTCCAGCGCCGAGGGCCTTCTGGCAGTTCCCTGACTGCGAGAAGTGAGGTTACAGGGAACCAGGCAGAGGGTCTTCTCACTAGTGGCACCCACCTTGTGGAATGCCTTCCCATGAGATGTCAAGGAGATAAGTAACTATACAACCTTTAGAAGACATCTGAAACATCTGAGACATCTGAGACATGCTGGAAGCAGGACCGGATTTAGGTTTGATGAGGCCCTAAGCTACTGAATGTAACGGGGCCCTTTATATCATAGCTGTCAACGTTTCCCTTTTTTTAAGGGAAATTCCCTTATTCCAAATAGGATTCCTCTCAAGAAAAGGGAAAAGTTGACAGCTATGCTTTATATGTCCAGCTATCCTTTGTCAACAACAAATTGTCGCTGTTTTTGTTGTTGAATATATGCTATATGGTAATTTATGGACCTAATAGGTATCTAAAGCCATTTGCACATAACAAAATATGTATTTTATCAAAGAAATTGTTGAACTGAAATACAGTTAAGAAGAAGTATATTAATAGTGAAATACAATTAAGAAGAAGTATATTAATAGTGAAATAATTATTAAGCCCCAACTTAAAATGATTTTTTATTCATAACAAACTTAATAATGCAAACACATTGGCATTTGGCAATCACAAAAGTTCCTTTAGAAACACCATTTACAAAGACTCATAATTTTGCGGGGCCCCCCAAGAGAGTGGGGCCATAAACTATAGCTTGTTTAGCTTATACGTAAATCCGGCACTGGCTGGAAGCCACCCAGAGTGGCTGGGGCAATCCATTCAGATGGGCGGGGTGCAAATAAAATAATAATAATAATAATAATAATAATAATAATAATAATAATAATAATAATAAGTTTGTTAAGGCCTCTGGGACTTGTAACTCTGTGAGGAATGAGCTACAGTGCCCATAATTCTTTGAGGGTGGAAATGTGCCTTGAAGAGTAAAGATATACTGTTTAAGCAGATTGTGTGACTTCTGTGCTTGCTCAGTTTATTCTCTAAATGTTAAAGGGCATCTTCAAATTCTTGTTTGCTCTCCCTTCTGTTGTTTCTTTATGTTAAAAATTAGATCTGGACTGGACAGTCTTTCAAACAGAGGACTATCCTCTGACCACACTTCAAAGTGTTAACTGTCAGTCCTCTCTAAATGACACATGACCATCCTATAGCAGTTTCAAGGGTGTGTGTGAGATTATATTCGATTTAAGCTGGGGAATCAGACGAAGGGGCAAAGCGTTTGGCCCTCATCCAAATCAGCTCCCCCCCCCCCAGCTGCTTTAAAACCAAGCAAAGAAAGTCCCTGAAAAGATTTCTCCTCCCACATAACTTCTTCTTTTGTGCCAGGCATTCTGTGTGCCATGAGAATTCAAATTCTGCCCCTGCCACCCTGCCACCCTGCCCTGATCCTGGTCCACATGTGCAGCAGAATAAGGTGGAAGTATCCTGAGGGCAAAATGTGGCTTGTACCACTTCAGACTGAAGGTGGGGGAGGGGCACGTGTGTTTAAACACTTCCCTGCAAGAGGAAAGGTAGCACATCAGAGGATAATTTCTCTACTGTGCTGGTTTTCTCCTTGCAAGGAGGTGTCATCTAATTTACATAGAGAAACTTTCAGAAATGTGAACCTCCTCCCTACATGGTAAGTGGTAAAGTGTGTTTTACCATCTTAGATCAGCAGGAACTCTCCTCACTTCATTTCTGATCTTCTCCAAAGAGACCCTGCTATCGCTTGTGTCCAGAGAGCAGGATCAAGTTTAGATAACTGCTTAACAACTTCAGAAATCAGTAGCTAAATACCATAAATAAAGGATTCACCCATACAGCTGCAAATAAAACATTTTAAATATGTTGTAAAGTGCAATATACAAACGTGATACTAAATGGTGACAGGGAGCTATGCCAAATTCAATGTATTTTTTCAAAACTTTTTTTTAAAAAAACAAATTTTCACAGTGTTTTTAATATGTGTGTAGTTTCCACTAAGGGGGTAAAACCTCAGTGCCTAGGACTTGCCGATCGCATCGTCGGCGGTTCGAATCCCCGCGGCGGGGTGAGCTCCCGTCTTTCGGTCCCAGCTCCTGCCCACCTAGCAGTTTGAAAGCACCCCTAAGTGCAAGTAGATAAATAGGTACCACTTTATAGCGGGAAGGTAAACGGCGTTTCCGTGTGCTGCACTGGTGCTGGCTCGCCAGAGCAGCTTCCTCACGCTGGCCACGTGACCTGGAAGTGTCTCCGGACAGCGCCGGCCCCCGACCTCTTAACTGAGATGGGAGCACAACCCTAGAGTCGGACACGACTGGCCCATATGGGCTGGGGTACCTTTACCTTTACCTAGTTTCCACTAAAATAAAGCGGTCTCTCAGGGCACATCAGATGCTAAGCAGAAAGTGAGGGAGATCTAATTCTTCTTCCCACACATATGCTCTACTTTGTTATTTGTTTTATTTATTCATCGATAGGTATGTTTGGAAACTATGTTGGTATAATATCATAAAAGAAAAGAAAAAGTTGGCCATGCCTTTTAAAAACGCACTGTAAATTTTCGCTTCTTTCATTGCAAGCTATTTCACATTTCCTTCACTAACTCTGAAAAGCATAGGGGCCATGTGATCAGTTATGTGGGGCAGGGCCTACCTGGGCCCCCACAATATTTTATTCAAGTTGGCACCCCTGCTGAAAAGGCACCCATTTTAAGATTTTTGGGAACTGGCAAACATATTTGAGTGTAACTGATGAGCAGGCAGAATGGTTATTTTTTTTTAAAGTTTGTTTCATTTTTGCTAATTACTAATAGGAGACCATGGGGGGGGGGGGAAAGAGGGACAGATGCCAAATTCTTCGATATTCTTTAGGCGTCTTGATGATAAACTGCCAAGCTGGGCAAGAGAAACTTTCTGAGTCCGCTCTAACCCAATAGTGTCTGAGCTGAGCTCCTGCAACTTGGAATCAGATTAGCTGTATCAAAGCTACAGTTTAGGCATCCAGTTATTGATTGCAGACAAATCAAAAGCAGAGACGTGTTTTCTGGCATTTAGCTGCTTTGGGCCAGTAAATAAGACCTGGCATGAACTTGTTGAGATACTCAGACGTCCTTGGGAACGCAGGTTGGTGCATCAAGGCCTTCAGTATGTTCCAGCATTGAAGCTTTTAAAGGATTGTGCTTTGCATTCTGAGCCAAAACTAACAAAGGGGTAGCATGGGAATCCAGAGGACTTCGAAGCCATGGGAGGCAAGGCGATTTCTGGCATTAGTTGCTGGCTGGGTTTCAAGGCCACTTCGCACATTACTCAGATGCAAACTTGGGGTTGCCGTCGGGGTGCCACGAGAAAGCTTTATTAACTATGAACTATGAAATTTGGGATCCCCTACAAACTGGTGCCAAAGTTTTGCACTTGTTTTGTACCGTTTTCTACAAAACGAGTTGTTCTGCAAACCTCATGTTTTGTACGCTCCCCAAAATGGAGTAATTGATATTCAAACCCGGGGTCACAGGTATCCCGCCCCCAAACCCCAACATTGTCCAATTCACTCCAAACCGGTGCCAAACATTTTGCAATAGTTTTGTACCGCAAACCCCACGTTCTGTATCACCTCCCCAACAGAGTGATTGATGCTCAAAATGTGGGGTTTTGCAGTGCAAAACTTTGGCTTGAATCAGACAGTGTTGGATTTTGGAGTGTTAACTACAAATCCTGGTATGACGGTGATATTATTCAGTTTGCAGGGTGCAAAACATGTCATTCACGGTACAAAATGGGTACGGAACTTGGGAGGGGATCCCAAATTTCATGGTTCGTGGTTAATAAAGCTCTGCAAGAACCTGGAGCCAATCTCAACTCCCTGATAGCACCTCATCCTGCTGTGCTGCTAAGTGGGTGCAGACCTGATTGGCCCTTTGGAGCAGGACTGGGGAACCACAGACCCAGAGGCCAAATGTGGGTCCCTCTAGGCCCCTCAGGACTCATTCTAGGCCATATCCCCTCTGCAAGACACACTCCTCGGGGGGGGGGGGTGTCCAAGCCTCTGGATTTTGCACAGCCAGAGTGTAGCCTCATGTACAGAGGTTTTCCACATTGACAAATACTTGATCCATCAAAGTAGCAATGCCAAGACTATGAAGACTTTCATTCTAGCAATGAAATACGGTCCCTTCTCTAGAAATGCTCATTACATGCCCCGAACACACTGACCAGATGCTTGGAAGCTGTGGCTGGATGGTTTCGTGGGAGCCGATTGAAACTAAATCCTTCGAAGACAGAGGTCCTATGGCTGGGTCGGGATGGCATGGGGATGAGGGACCAACTCCCTTCTCTTGCGGGGGCCCAATTAGTGCCATTGCCTTCTGTTAAGAGTTTGGGTGTAATCCTTGACGCCTCCCTTTCCATGGAGGCGCAAGTTACAGCAACAGCCAAGGTGACATTTTTCCACCTTCACCGCATCAAGCAGTTGGTCCCTTACCTTTCCCGCCCTGACCTGGCCACAGTGATCCATGCGACGGTCATCTCCAGGCTTGACTACTGTAATTCGCTCTACGTGGGGCTGCCCTTGAAGCTGACCCAGAAACTCCAGAGGGTGCAGAATACTGCAGCGAGGCTCCTCACGGGGTCTCTGCCATGGGAGCATATTCACCCAGTGCTTTTCAAACTGCACTGGCTCCCGGTAGAGTACAGGGTCAGATTTAAGGTGCTGCTTTTGACCTTTAAAGCCCTTCACGGCCTAGGACCCTCGTACCTACGGGATCGCCTCTCCCGGAGAGCCTCAAGGTCCATAAATATCAACACCCTAGTGGTCCCGGGCCCTAAGGAAGTTAGATTGGCTTCAACCAGAGCCAGGGCCTTTTCAACTCTGGCTCCGGCCTGGTGGAACGCTCTGCCTCATGAGACCAGGGCCCTGCAGGATCTGATTTCTTTCCGCAGGGCCTGTAAGACAGAGTTGTTCCGCCTGGCCTTTGGCTTGGAGCCAATTTGATTCCCTCCCTCTCTTTCTTTTTTCCTTTCCTTCTCCTCCTTTGATGAGGCTACATTTTAATATTTTAATATTTCAATATTTTAATGTTGTATTTTAATGTTGTTTTTAAGTTGTAATCATTCAACTTGTTTTTATTATTGCTTGTAAGCCGCTCTGAGCCCGGCCTTGGCTGGGGAGGGCGGGGTATAAATAAAAATATTATTATTATTATTATTATTATTATTATTATTATTATTATTAAACAATGTGTCATTAGCAGAAATCCTACATCTTGGGAGGAGGTATAGGACTGTGATGATAATCTCATGGCAATACCAAGTCCTAAACAGCAGCCTTTTGCCATTTTTTTCCTTAAAAAAATAAATAAATTAGAAAGAGGGTTTTTTTTGTTTTTTTGTTTAGATGTTTCACATTTCTGTTCCCTTAGCCTTCTTCTCAGGTTCAATTTTCATTTGTCCCCCTTAGGGCTTTTTCAAGCATGGCTAAGAAAGGAAGAAGAGAAGAAGAGAAGAAATACAAGATCATTGACATTTGTGAAAAATGCAGCTGCTACGTAAAGGAGGAAAGGCAAGCTCAGTGCTTTGACTCAGCAGAGCATCTCTTGCAAAATAAGATGAATGGAAGGGGAGAGGCGAGAGCGCTGTAGAGCCACGGATGACTTGGAAAAAGGGAAAAGAGGAGAGAGGCTGGTTTATCCTTCACGTGAGCCAAGGACGTTTAAAAGCAATCTGGCTTTTTCAGCCAGAGGTGCAGAACTGAAATCGCTTTTACATTTCTATTCGTTCAAAACAACAGAATGTTCACTATCCATTTCATTGCTCCCCACCCCTCTTGCTCTGGGTGGGAATGGAGGGGGTGGGGAGTTGGTCCTCTTTGCATTATAATGCGAACCTACACTTTCCTGAATTTTGCAGTGTCAGCCTACAACCAAAAAATGTGTTCCACAAGCAGGCATATTAGGGGAAAGTGGGCATTAGGACACAAATGTTGGTGAAAGCAACAGACAAAATGCATCACACTTGGAAAAACAGGCTTGCAAAAAATTGCCTAGTAGGAGGGATGCGCACTAAAACGGATGAATTCAAAGTAATGTAGAAAGGTGTGAAGCTGAAGTTAAGATTGGAAAAATGAGAAAGGGAGGGAAATCAACAGCAACCTCTTCACCCATCCTCAGTCGGAAGGTGCATGAGGCCCATACCCTTGCTGAAACTGGTTCGAAGCCTAGATGGGTCACCAGGCAGGAGCCTTGGAATCAATGAAAGAAGAAAATATATGCAAATATAAGTGGGCGGGGGATAAAAATTAAATAGGTCTGCACCACATCTTAGTTTCCCCCTCATATTCTTATTTCCCAGCCTACCTCATCCCAGTATGGTGTAGTGGTTAAGAGCGGTGGACTCGTAATCTGGGGAACTGGGTTCACGTCTCCGCTCCTCCACATGCAGCTGCTGGGTGACCTTGGGCTAGTCACACTTCTCTGGTCTCTCAGCCCCACTCACCTCACAGAGTGTTTGTTGTGGGGGAGGAAGGGAGAGGAGAATGTTAGCCGCTTTGAGACTCCTTCGGGTAGTGATAAAGTGGGATATCAAATCCAAATCCAAACTCTATTCCTCTCCAAATGCAATCTACGAGTGCAGTCCAGGAGTGCAATATTATACAATTTATTTTTTGTTGGCATCCATCTGTCTTGAGAGACAATGGAGTGTGCCTCGGTGTGTGTGTGTGCATGAAATCAAACCACTATGTTAGCAGCACTGAAGTGACCTCCCCAGGGTGCAAGCCTGGGTAGTGTGTATGGAGGTCCTGGGCTGCCCAGACAAGAAGACCCACCCCCCTCAACCTCGCTGATGTGGTACAAAGGAGAGCAGAGCAATACGTCTGTAACCACCACCCCACTTGACCACAGGAGTTGGCAGAAGCAGGTGTACAAGGTGCCACCCAACCATTTTAGGACTCCAGATTTCTGTAGGGTTTACTCCTTAGCCTTTTCTTCTCCTGAAGATATCCCACATGGGAGCAAAGGTTTAGAACCAGAGTTTTCCTTCTCCTAGATGGGCTAGTTTCCCAGGTGGACAAGCCCCATCTGCCGCTCACTTCCCTCTACAACACAAACAGAAACCACCTTCTTCACAGTTGGACCCACTATTTGGTCTCATCTGCTGAATCCTCCAGAGCCTGCCTTTGCATGCAGGGGAAGTCCCTAACATGCCGAGAGTTTGAGATCCACACCTGGTTTAGTTGGTTTACTCAGAAGTAAATACATAGAGTTTAGTGGGTCTTTCCCCCAGGTAAGCGAGTGAAGGATTGCCACTTACACCTGCAGTCCTATATAGTATACACACTTACCTGTGGATTGTGGTCCATGAACACTTATGCCATAATAAATTTTGTTAGTCTTTAAGGTCCCCAAGACTCTTGATTGTTCCTTCTGAATTTTAACTCTTGATCTGATATATGTTTGGGCTTGCTCATATATCTCTCTGGGCAGACTTTCACGGGCTATTTCTAAGCTGGTCTGGGATGAAAGGAACAGGGTTTTGAGAGCAGGGCTGCTAAATATGCATTTGGGGCAGCAAGCACAGTAGCTTTGCAAGAGCACAAAGGAAACCAAGGATTGGTTCGCCCTTGCATGTGGCATTTGCGTTCTGCAAGAGCAGCCTGTGATTTCTTGCATGCTATTATGCTTAAGCCATATGAGTTCAGAAGCTCCCTCATTAAGGTCCATCCAATTTTCTGTTCTATATATATAGCTGCATCTCCCTGTATTGGCAGCTATGTCTGTGAAACCAGCTAAGGAACAGAGAACGAAGGCCATTGAGCAGCAGCAGCAATTTCCCTCGGAGTTCTGTGATTTTCTTAGAATCGGTATCACACGAGAAACTAGTCTGTAGCAAGAAAGCGAGACGAAACATGCAATGTTTTAAATTGCAGCACACTACCAGTGCTTGAATTTTAGAAGGAAAGGTACGGGGGGCTCTTGATGCAACCCACAAGCCCTAACCCGTCACTCTGCCCAATTCTAACTGAGCCGTGCCCACCTCAGTAGCCTTCTGAAAACAACAGCTATGGGGCACAACACACAAGATAAGTGGGAGCAGGCTCCACCTGGTAATTTGAGCACTGCGCAGAAGAGACATAAATGAATTGTGTCTCAGCTCAGCTGTGACACCTCAAGCCCTGTCCAATTAAACAAGATTAGGTGTAACCCAAAGAGGGGGTAGAGTTGGGTTTTGCCGTCAGCTGTTATTTGCAGGGCACACGTCGGCAGAACTAGTTTATCCAGCAACAGGGTTTACAAGGTGGAGTGAAGACCTCGTACAATCAGCATTTCCTGATCGCCTGCAAAATGAGGTTTCCTGTGCACAGCCTGGCCTGTTAGCTACTGTCATTTGACCAGAGACTCTTTAGCCCCATCTAGAGGCAAGAGGCCAAGGAAGCATCTCCGCAATCACCCGGTGTGACCTATATATGCCGATATCAAGCTCCCCACCTGACTCCCATCTCGGAACCAAGGGCCTGCAATATGGAGGCCCTTGCAAACACAAACTCTGTCCATGCTTCTTTTTTAAAACAAAAGACCTTCTCTGTATTTATTGATCTCGTAGCACAGAGGACCAGGGAAAGGGCTGAACGTCTTTATCAGCTGAAAGGGAATCAACATTTTCTAGAAACAAATGCAAAAAAATCCCTTAAGCGTTTCTGAGCATTACAGAAGTTTCAGGATCCTTTGCAATAATGGGAACTTTGATTTGCGAGCAAATAAGCATACCCGTTGGGAAGCGGGTGGCGCTGTGGGTTAAACCACAGAGCCTAGGACTTGCCGATCAGAAGGTCGGCGGTTCTAATCCCCGCGATGGGGTGAGCTCCCGTTGCTTGGTCCCTGCTCCTGCCAACCTAGCAGTTCGAAAGCACGTCAAAGTGCAAGTAGATAAATAGGTACCACTCTGGCGGGAAGGTAAAAGGCGTTTCCGTGTGCTGCTCTGGTTCGCCAGAAGTGGCTTAGTCATGCTGGCCACATGACCCGGAAGCTGTACGCCGGCTCCCTTGGCCAATAAAGCGAGATGAGCACCGCAACCCCAGAGTCAGTCACGACTGGAAATAATGGTCAGGGGTCCCTTTACCTTTACCTTAAGCATACCTGTTGGTTAACAAACACCAGGATCTCATCCTAACTCTCTTTAAGGACTCTTGGTTTCAAGTAACCTGCAATGAGGTGATTAGGACTGCAATGTTAGGGGCATGCTTGTTGTGCCACATAATTTGTAATATAAAGGTCAGGCTCAGTGAAACTGCCTTAGCTCACACTGAGCGGCACTTAGGATCGTAAAAAGCTGCCTCATACCAGGTCAAGTGATTTGACCACCTAGCCCAGGGGTCAGCAACCTTTTTCAGCCATGGGCCGGTCCACCATCCCTCAGACCATGTGGTGGGCTGGACTATATTTTGAAGGGAAAAAATGAACAAATTCCTATGCCCCACAAAGAACCCAGAGATGCATTTTAAATAAAAGCACACATTCTACTCATGTAAAAACACCAGGCAGGCCCCACAAATAATTCAGAGATGCATTTTAAATAAAAACACACAGTCTACTCATGTAAAAACGCACTGATTCCCCGTCTGCAGACCGGTTTGAGAAGGCGATTGGGCCACATCTGGCCCCCAGGCCTTAGGTTGCCTACCCCTGTCCTAGCCTAATCTTGTCTCTTCTGACTGGAAGCTGCTCTCCTCCAGGTAAAGGTCTTTCCCATCACCTGCTGCTTGATCCTCTCAAATCTGAAATGCCAGGGATCTCACTTGGGGCACTCTGCATGCAAGCATGCCCCTCTATAGAAATGCTGATCCAAATTCTTTGTGTACACCCTCTATGGCTCTGGGTTTGAGACTTCCCGACTACCCCAGGGAATAAGAAACAGGCTGCATCCTTTTCTTGCATCTCTGAACAGCTGGGTATCACGGTGCCTATGCCCTGTGCAAGCTGCCATACACCAGCCTTCCCCAACCCGTTGCCCAGCCAGGATGGCCAATAGGCAAGTGTGATAGGAGCTATAGTCCAAAATACTAGAACATTCCCAATGGGTTGGGGAGAGCTGCCTTAGACCAAGGCACCCCATAGGTCCAACTCAGCAGGAGACTCTTAATCTCAGAGTTGTGGGTTTGAGCCCCACATTGGGCAAAAGATTCCTGCATTGCAGGGGGTTGGAGTAGATGATTCTCAATGATTCCTTCCAGCCCTACAATGCTATGATTGTGGGCCAGTTGTGCTGTAGTGGTTAAGAGCGGTAGATTCGTAATCTGGTGAATCAGGTTCGCTCCCCCGCTCCCCCACATGCAGCTGCTGGGTGACCTTGGGCCAGTCACACTTCTCTGAAGTCTCTCAGCCTCACTCACCTCACAGAGTGTTTGTTGTGGGGGAGGAAGGGAAAGGAGAATGTTAGACGCTTTGAGACTCCTTAGAGTAGTGATAAAGCGGGATATCAAATCCAAACTCCAAACTTTTCTTCTTTCTAGCTCAGTTTTTTCTTTGCAGGTGTTCTGCAGAGTTTCAGATAGGAGTTCTACCACATACCCAACTTGTGATCTTTGGCATGGGAGCCATGTTTTCTTCCACTCAGGCACAGCCCTTCCCTTAACAACTGGAGAGCAAGAAGCAGCTCACTCCTCTCAATTCAGAAAGCAGTAGGTCTGGCTGATGTATGATATCTGCCAAAAGCACGCAGGTGGGAAAGTTGCTTAGTGCAATGGCCTCCCAAGCCATAAAACGAATTTCAAGGGACGGCCCTACTCTGAGATGAGGATGGGGCAGAAATGTGATTCAGTTCACATTTAAAAGTGAACCTACCTGACTCGTGCTTTTGAAAACGTTACTTGAACCAAAACACTGCCAGCTTTTGAAATATACACTTCTCTGCATTTTGTAGTGTGTTTCTTCAGTCAAGTAATGCTTACAAAGATACATATTTTGGTGAAAGCAGCACACATTGTATCAGGGGAAGTTAGTTGCTTTGCAACAATTAGTTTTGCCTGTTGGGTCTGTCACTTCCTTTTTGTTCTGTAACTTGGCTATTATTTGATTGCTTAGCTGCCTCAAGCCTAGGATAAGCCACCTTAGAATAACAAGGTGTTTCTGACAAGGAGATGATTTCCATATAGAGGAAACCCTTGTGTGTGAAGAGGTCAAACTATGATATTCATCTAATAAAATTGCTTCTCAACACAGCCTCATTTTGCACACGCAATTAGGGAGATTAGAGAGGAAGGGAAGAACAATTATACAAAGCAAGTGTTTTCAATAGAAGTCTGGGATAATTGGCTGCAGAGTGAACATTTCAGAACAAACACACTGCCTTCCTTTGGCTCCAGAGCTCCTGCGCAGGAGAAGATTGCCTGTGTGCTTTGGTAGGTTGGTAAGAACTGAGCTCATTAGACTAAGCTTTTGCTTTTCCTGTAAGTTTCACATAAAATCACCTAATGCAAAACCCTTCCTTTGTGAAAATCAATGGCATCCCCTCTGCGACTTTGAGGAGAGCTCCAGTGCAAAGGGTCAGGATGGGAAAATATCAGAGGAGTCAAATTGGCTCTGTGGCCAATGTGAAATGTTCTGTGACTGAGGTAACTGTGTAATTGGGACTGGATTCCATAGCTTCCATCGGTCCCTTGTGCACTCGTCAAAGGCAAAACAATCACACTTTCCTAGCACTTAATTAAAAAAAAAAAATCTCCTCCTAGGAAATTGCATCCCAGCTCATGGGCCATATTTAGTTTTTACTCAGAGTAGACCCTTTGAAATTAATGTACCTAATTTATCCATGTTCATTAATTTCAGTGGGTCTACCCTGAGTAAAACTTGGTTGAATACCACCCGATGCTTCCATTTTAATTGAATTACCTGTGTGGACCAGGAACACCACAGCACTGATGTGAAATAGCCCCTTTCTCCCTTTAAGTGCTTCAATAAGACTGGATGTTACATGAGGCTGTCTGTCTCTCCTCCTCCTCTCCCTGATAAAGTGTAGTAAAGAGAAATATGTGGTGAGGACTTACTGTGCTCTTATTTTCAGCACACACACACACACCCCAAGCATAAACCAACAAAGTGGAGGAGGCGGGGGACTTCAGAGATGACATCGCATCACATGTTTTGATTTGCTGCGAGGAGGAGTAGATGGAGAGCTGCTGTTTTCAATGACATCAGCATAGTTCTCCAAATTTTAGATGCAGCCGAAGGCTGTAGCTGCACACACGTACTAGGGAATACACCATTGGACTCAGTGGGATTTATTTCTCAGCAAATTGCTTCAGGTTGCATTGCATGCCGTGTCCCAGACTGTAGGTCTGGGAGGAAGATACGGATGCAAAGGACAAAGAGTAAGATGCAAGTTGAAAAATGTGCATTTTTGCTACTTGAGAGTCTCTGTTGTAAGGTTTGTATGTACATCAGCAATCTGTGTTGTGGGAGCAGGGGAAAGCACTTAGAAAGGCATCATCTTAGACAAGAAGAGTGCCAGTGTTCTGCATTAACCAGACTTGGCATTTGCATTATGCTATGGATGTTTAAACTCCGCAACATAAAGCAGGCATCTGTTCCACAGCAAAACGTATCATTTCATAGTGGATCCAGTGTGGAGCGAGAATACTGTTTCCCATTCAAGATTTGCATTTGGCTAGACAATTGAACACCCACCTTAAATGTCTCAGCAGCAACTATCCACAATGGCTACCTTCTCTCGACACTGGATGCCTCTGGGTCCCAGTTACACAGGAGGAGAGAGTGTTGTTGCATTCAGATCCTGCTTGCGGGCACCTGACTGGCCAATGGGAGAAACAGGAGGCTCACTAGATGGACCAGCAGCCCGATCCAGCAGGCTCTCCTTATGTTCTTTTGCCATCAAACTACGATGCAGGATATTCAAAGCAAAGCAAATTGAGTGTGTAATTGTGACTTATATTCAGCTGTTTGCAGGTGGGTGGGTGGGTGGGAGGTGTTGTTCCATAGTTTTCCCCCTAAATATTTTTTTGGTATTTCTCCAAATCTTGATGCTTCTGGACCCCTGCTGATACCTCCCTCTTGTGCATGGGCGGTGCTTTTTTGGCTACATAAGGAGAACGGAGTTGGCTATGTAATATTATTGATACTGGTACATAATCATGGCCTGGTTCCAGCTTGTCACCAGTGCTGTAAGAGCTCATGTGGTGGAGGAAAAGGCACCCCATGCAGCGAAGTTGTGTTATGTTTACTCCTTGTTGATTTCTACCCTCTTCCTTCCCCCCCCTTTTTTTGAGAAGGAAGTCTATTAATTGGCGTTTCTTTGCAATGTGCATGCTTACCCAGCCCTGCACCACAGGAAAACTCTGTTCCAACAGATGACAGCTGAGAACATAAGCATCCTATCTCCCACTGCTTCTCCACATCAAACTGCCCCTTCCCAAAGTTGTTCTGTCTCCATAGAGGGGCTGCTACATGAGTTTGGGATTAATATGCAGTAAAGCCCTAAGTTATGTGACGATCATGCAGCTGTTTCTCTAATCACATCAACATCTGCCTGTCTGCCTTGTCCCTCTCAAAGTAGCTCATAGAGAAGGAGTGGGAACCTGTGGCCCTCCAGATGTTGTTGGTCTCCAACTCCCATCAGCCTCAGCTAACAGGGCCATTGAACAGGGATGATGGGAGTTGGAGTCCAACAACATCTGGAGGGCCAGATGTGCCCCATTATACAGGACTCCTAGGGGTCTCTCCTTCGGGTATTGGTTAGACCTATAGATGCTTACTTTCAGGTACAGAAGGGTATCAAGTGCACTGGTGGGGTCTTTGGCCCCATAGGCTATTGGTGAAAAAGCAGAATCATTCAGTGTTTGGCTATGGCTTCCCCAATTTTTAAAGGTCAGTAGTACAATTTTGCTGATTGGCAAAACAAAGGATGCCAAAATACTTTTAAAACAGGCTTCCTCAACCTCAGCCCTCCAGAAGTTTTGAGACTACAATTCTCAGCATCCCTGACCACTGGTCCTGCTAGCTAGGGATCATGGGAGTTGTAGGCCAAAAACATCTGGAGGGCCGAGGTTGAGGAAGCCTGTTTTAAAATGTTAGCTGCAAGTCCTTTTCCACTTTGCAGAAACTTGGTATCCAAGTGATAGGAAAGCAATCACCCAGTGATCTCTGTGGTGTAAAATATATTTACTGTGAAGTAAAATATATGACATTTTTTTGATGCACAGTCTCAGAGTTTATTCTCAGAAAGAATGTGCAGAAGTAAGAGGAGTGCTCTGTTACCAACAAGAAACAAGGTTCAAGTCTCCGTGGATTTGAATTCTGGAAAAGGATGAGCAGGCAAACCAGATTGAGCCTAGACAATCATTAATCTAATGGTTGAGGGTGAAACTTCTGAACATTTTCTCCTCCAAAGCTGGTAGGTCCATATTCTTATTGCCTTATATATATGTACATGCATACATGCATATTTCCCCCCTTCCCTGTCTTCAATTTAAGTGCCAGGCAAAACTAATACAGCTTTAATACACTATGCAGTAAACGCACACCTAATTTAAAATAATTAGATAATAAAAGCTGGTGATTTTAACTGAAAAGCATAAAAATGTTAGTGCTGAAATCTGCGCTCTGCTCCTATGGAATAGATAGAACATTTGGCATTCTATCCATAAGAATACTAACTTCAAATATATGTGCAGCTGCTTTTACCTTCTTCTAAATATTGCATCCAAGCAGTTTCTTAACAGGGAAATATGTGAAGACATTTTGTTGAAACTGGAAGATGGAAGACGCAACCCTTTTAGAATATTACAACATAAAACGATGAAATCTCATTGCAGTTGTAAAGGGAGGGAGGGGAAGCATCTGTAGGAGTGAAATTTGAGCATCCCAGAACAAAAGGCTTTACAAATTACCATAACCTTTGAAACAAACATGATTGTCAGACGGGGACCTCTGTGACCTTGCTGTCACTCAGTGTGGTTTTGAGCACACTATGTGAACCTTGAGGAAAACATCACTGTGCATCAATCCTGAAGTTGTCATATTGTACCTCGCTTGTAGGGGTTGCAAGGAAAAAGTCAGGCAGGAACCTGTGCAACATAGGAGAGATGCATCCATGAAAATTCATTCTTTTATTACATACATTTTGGTTGATAAACTGGAAGGAATGTGAGCTTTTGAGCCTCAGAAGGCTGTCCTTCAGACAAATGGAAAGCAGGTGATACAGCTCATTATAGCAACATGAATCAGAGCTTCTAAGCAAATGCAGTTCATCAACAGCACACATTTTAGTTAGATAATATTTCAGGAAAGAGACTCATGGCGCATCAAAGATCTGTCTGACGTGGCTTAATAACAACTTCAATCTTATATTCTAACTTACTGGAGCAGCTGCTTGCAGGATTGAATACGGGGTCTCAGGGCACCCACACAATGTTTTAATTCAACCCCAGACTCTCTGTCAATGCAGCCATATATGTTGGTCCATGGAATGGCAGCCGTGTTAGGGACAGGAGGATGGCACAAGTGGTCATTGCAACAGAATATCCCGGCAGGCCAGCATAAGGGATGCATATTTCAGCTCTTATCTGCTACACTCCGTCTTTTCTCAGAGTGGCTATCTAGAAAAACTATGGTCTGGTGAGGTGTTAAAGCATTTGCATGACAGGTCACACGACTCCCCTGACCCACTCCCTTCAGTTTGTTCAGTCCTGACACTGACCACCATTTTCAAAAAGTTCAGAGGAAACGTATTGGACATGAAGGTGCCAAGAAGTGTTCAAAATTTATTTGTGGCATCAATTCCAAATTTGTGCTCGGACAAGCTTGTTCCGGGATAGTATCTACTTAGGCCATTTTATTACTCTTGGCAGAATTTTTAAAAATATAAAATATCAAGCCTTAATTAAAATTAAAGTTCAAAGTACCCCAGAGACTGAAATCTCTTAAAATTGTCCTGGCTTTAATGTAAGAGGCCATAATTACATATGAACAAGCAGGAAGAATATGGCCTACAGCTTCATTGGCCTAAACTAATCTAATCTTGAATAATTTTCTGCACTTTGAAATACATTTTTCGTGGGTGGAGATTGGGGGCACTGGATCCTGGAGACTGTGCCCTTTTGGGCCCCCTATATTTTTGGGATAGGGGTCAGCCCTCCCCCTTTGCAAAATTGCAATGGCTCCAGTGGCCTGTTCCTTCTCCTTTGCCTCCTCCTCCTCCTGCCGTGGGTCGAAGCAGCTGTCCCCTGGTGGCGGCACCAAGGAGGTGGTGCCTCCACCCATTGAGCCATGTGGCCACTGCATTTGGCTCCACCTCATCTCCTCCTGATGTCCTGATGACATGTGCATGATGTTGACCCCCCAATCACCCTCACAAGCTGACACCTCTGGTGGCAATGTTTAGTTACCTTCCAACACTGGATATATATACAGTGGTACCTCTGGTTACGTACTTAATTCGTTCCGGAGGTCCGTACTTAACCTGAAACTGTTCTTAACCTGAAGTATCACTTTAGCTAATGGGGCCTCCTGCTGCTGCCATGCCGCCGGAGCCCGATTTCTGTTCTCATCCTGGAGCAAAGTTCTTATCCCGAGGTACTATTTCTGGGTTAGCGGAGTCTGTAACCTGAAGCGTATGTAACCTGAAGTGTCTGTAACCCGAGGTACCACTGTATAGGCAATTCAGTGCCAGATCTGGGCATAAAAGAACAGTGTGGATGAAGCTAGGGCAGGTAGAATTGTAGTATAGTGGCTAGAGAGTTGGAATAGAATGCAGGAGGCCTTTTAATAGGCTAGCCCATGAAGTTCACCTTGGCCCATCATGACCCCTCAGTCTAACCTAAATAAAATGGGGGGGGGAGCATAATTCCAACCCTGAACTCTTTGGAGTACTGGCAGGATGCAAATGAAATTAACCGCCACATTTCTTGCCTGAAAAGCATGGGCACGGGCGTGGAAGAGACCTATTTTGCTATTGTGCTGCTCTTTTCCATCTTAAGTTACGTTGGCGCAAGATAATTTCTCAATGCATGTTGTTGCCACCCACCCTTTTAAAACTCTGGGTGTTTAAAGAGTGTGGTTTCAGGGTTTTTGTAGGATAGCTTTTCAAAAGGAAGCTGCAAAATAAGAAGTAACCATGCAAGTAGCCACACACAATGTATACATACAACATTTGGATTATGAATTAATTCGGATTAGGGTAGATACTTCTACTTTATGTTTCCCGGTAATGAAATTTCTGAAATACAATGTGTGGGGCTGGGGGTTTGTAGGGACTGAAAGAAGAAGGAGAAAGCCTTTCACACAGCACTTTCAATATTAACATCCAGCTCGCCATAGACATGTCGGAGAGCATCGCAATTCAAACTTGCAATCAGCTTTCGGGGGCCGGACTGCTTTGGAACACATTTTTCTTCCCAGGTCAAGGTTGAATTCCTTGGAACTTCTCTGCAGCGAGAAAGAATAGTGTAAACATGGTGGTAGATGGGCCATAAATCTGAACTGTAATACATGAGTAGGTATCTTGGTGATAGAAAAAATAATCTATGTTGTAAAGAAATGACCTATCCCAAGAGGGGGGGGGTTGCCCCAAAGGGGGGGAATACATCAGAACACCCCTAGAGAATTCACAGCTGTCATTCAGAGGCAAAGTGGACAACCCAAAGCAGAAGAGAATTGTTTAAAGTTAACTGAGAGGCAGTGTGGTACGGTGATGAGAGTGTTGACACCAGGGTTCAAATCCCCACTCAGCCATCAAGCTTGTAGGGTAATTTTGGGCTAGTCCCTGTCACTTAGCCGAACCTACCTCTCAGGGTTGTTTTGTGGATAAATGAAGATGGGGCAAATCCATTCCTTGAAGAAGAGTGTGCTACCTCTTATATCACTTAATTAAAAGCAATTCTGAAAAGGTGTTCTCTGTAACATTGACTCTGTGCTTTGGGGGGGGGGTGAACCACCCTTCAAATATCTCATCCCTAGCAAGATGACAAAAAATAACCTGGTCAGTATCCCATAAAAGTGCCCCCCCCAGAATATCATTTTGCAGCGAAAATAATAATATGTTATAGAAGACTGGAGGGTGCACTTCCAACAGGACCTTGTCCGGAGATAATTTTTTAAAACCCTGCGATATATCCCAAAGGATTATTTTAATTTTAATTTTTTTTGGCTAATGGAATAAAACTTCACTAATTCCATTTGCCCGGAGTAACCTTAGTGATGGATGATTCTCAGTAATGTGCTAAGCCATCAACATTGACTGGTCATTTATCATCTTCCATCCACAGAAACAAATGGGATTATTATTTAAATAATCTGCTACGATTTGTTTTCTCTAAGTATAATTTGAAGCTTCTATCCAAGCCAAATGAGAACTCAATCAGCACTATGTGTTATTATGCAAGCCCAAGAACCCCAGCTTTTAGAGTGGTACTTCTTTTTCTAAAAGGCAGTTTCTAGTCCTTATGGTTTCGGAGAAGATCTTGCAATTGCCCAAATCCAGAAACCCACCGGAACTATTTATTTATTGTTAAAATAAAAATCTGGTGAGTGTAAAAACAAGACTTGTCCATCAAGTCCATCAAATCACTATGAAAGAAACCATCATAGCATTTATATAGCAGCCTTTATAGCAGTCAGACCACTTTATAAACATTGTTAGCAGCCTTCGCTGCAACCTTGTAAGGCAAATTAGTATGACTATC